TTATCAGGGTGTCCATTTTTATCTGCGAGGCTGTTGTTGGTGTCGACGACGCGGACGTTTTGTTCATCACGAACTTGGTCAACCATGACAGTGATAGTTGAGTTGAGCTTTGGTATTTGAGTTTTTGCAAGACGAGGAAGCTAGTTTCCCACAGACGGCGCCACTGATCTTACCTGATCAGACTTGGATCGTCACGACTGGTTCCGAGCAAAAGTTGAACGAGATGGGGGGGGGGGTATCTGCAAGGCACTCCGATGCTAAAGTGAGTGAGAGTACGAGCAGGCAGAAAGTGTGAGTATGGGTCAAAGAATGAATACCTGACCCTCTAGGAATAGAGGGTATTTATAGCCCCCAGCGCTGGGCCAAGGTCCCTTCATTGGGCCGACCAGGATTGGCCCAATAAAGGAACTGCCAGGTTCTACGTGTGTAGTAGGGACCCGCACGTGGTCTCCTTCCTGGATGCTCTACGAGAAGTACGGACGGACGAGGACGCGGTCTTTTCGGAGTTCAGGCGATGGTGTAATGGTCATAGTCTGCCCTACGAGGAGGGTGCTCGAGCTGGACTCGAGCTGGATTGTATGTGGTCGGGGACGTTGTGTTCGCGGGCACGACGGGCATGGCTGTAGCTTCTGGTCGACGCGCTCCTTGTAGAGTTGTTTGGATTGGGCCTTCATTCTTGCTCTTGGGCCAACCCGGGTCCAGTCTAGAACACTATATGTTAATAAATTTTTGATTTAATTAGAATTAATGTTATACTTACGCATTTTTCAAAAATTTGTTGTACATCTTCTTTAAGAACTCCATCCTTACCCACACGGGCAGCCTTCCACAAAACATGCTCCGGAAGAGATGTTTCAGAACTACTCTCCTCTTTTAACTACACATTAACACAAAAAACAAGCTCAGTTATAACTCTTGATGAACAAGTATATCATTGCAATTTGTAAATACTTACTATTTTTTGTTCTAATCGTGCATATCCGCAGACAATCTTGTGAATTTTGGGCAATCTTTATACAACGGTTTCTCCGCATCGCTTACCAACCTCTCAAACATTTTGGGACAATCTTGAAGATCTTCTTCAAGTGCTTCTGCAATCTCTTCGACTCGATCACAATCATATGTATCTGTGGCATTGTCGTACGAAACATAGGTCGTATTACTTTTCACCCCCGGTTCAACATTCTCGATGCTTTTCTCACCATGAAATATCCAACATGTATAACTTCGATCAATCCCGCGCATTAGTAAATGCGATTTCAATCCATCTGCGTCAACCCGACCCACATAACAACAACCCAAGCAAGGACATTTCATTCTATTCGGGTCTTCAGCGTGTTCAACAGCAAACTTAACGAACTCTAATACCACATTCTCGTACTCTTTTGACAATCGATCGGCACACATCCATTTTTTATCCATGGTTTTAACTATTATCTAAGTTAAACAAAAACAATAATTAGGGCACAAAACGGTATAATGTGTTTCTGTCAAAACACAAAGTATACACGGATTTAAAATAAATTTGAGTTCTAAAAAATCAATTCGGAGAAAATATAAAAATTGATCTAAAGTTCCAACATAACTAAGGAATACCATATCATAAGTAAGGGTAGTTAATTACAGTTCGGTTCAGCAAGTTATGGTTTGGTTAACTATGGTTTCAGTTCGGTTATTGAACTGTTTGATGACATGTGGTTCGGTTCATAAACCATGAATAACGATTCGGTTATTTAAAAACGGTTCAGTTCGGTTATGTGGTTCAGTTCAGTTCTGTGGATTTTTTAAACACCCCTAATTATGATTTTTTTTCTTCACATTATCAATACCATAACCACAAGTTCACGAATCTCACTACACATTATTTGGCTGCTGGTAATTGCTATTTAGTTAGTAGGTGATAGACAAGTTTAAAAAAATAATATGCTTTTATAAACATATTAAAATTGCACAATAAATAATCACATGTTACAAAATTGAACTAGTTTTGTTTTTTACCATAGAGGTTTACTATAGTAATACAAAACTTGGAAGCAAATAAATAGAAAGAGCAAGAGTTTCTCACCGTAGTGCCTGCAACCAGGAAAATTGCACTAGATAAGCTTCCTGTTAATGTAAAAAAAACATGAATAAGTTAAATTCACACACAAAAGCACTTATTTACAAAAGCACTTACATTCTTGAGATTCTTGAGATTCTTGAAAGCACTTATTCACAAAAGGGTGCATTATCCCCCAAACAAAAGCACTTATTCACAAAAGCACTGTTTCCTTCCTACCCAGCTCTAGCTAGTATCATGACCACCCACATTTTTATTCAATAGAAAAGAACAACTTAATAATGTAAAAGTGCATAAATGGTGTTATCAAAACTGATCTGTTGTTGTTATCGGAACACCGAAGAGAGTTGCTTCTGCACGGAGGAAGAACCACCAAAGTACGGTTGGATGGTGAGGAGACGAGTTGGAGAAGAGTTGGAGGAAGAACCACGGTTGGACGGTGAATGGGAGGAGACGAGTTGGAGAAGAAGATGAACAGGAGCGATTTTTGGGTGTGGGGTTTCGTTTGTACGATTTGGGATTTATGGAAATCTGATAACCAATTTAGGGATTAAGACACTATTTAATTACCTTAGACATCGCTTTCAAAAAGCGTTGCTAAAGGTATTACCTTTAGCAGCGCTTTTAGAGTAATGCCTTTAGCAGCGCTTCTGGAAAGCGCCGTCTAAGGTATACCCTTTAGCAGCGCTTCCGGAAAGCGCTGTCTAAGGTATACCCTTTAGCAGCGCTTTAGGCTTTAGCAACGCTTCCTAGAATAACACCTTTAGCAACGCTTTTAGTAAGCGTTGTCTAAAGTATAACCTTTAGCAGCGTTTATTCTAATTTTTTAATTTTTTTTACTGAAAACCTATAGCAGCGCTTAGGGAAAGAAAGCGCTGTCTATGGTAAGGCCTATAGCAGCGCTTATAATAAACGATGTCTATAGTATACCTTTAGCAGCGCTTCTCCTTTAATTTTTCTGAAAACCTATAGCAGCACTTTAGGCATAAGCGCTGTCTATGTGGCACTGTCTAAAGTCAATTTTGGCATAGTGTTTAATATGGTTAAACACTGTGACACTATAGGTGTTTGCTTTGGAAGCCTCCTCGTTAAATGATTTCACTGTGCATTCACTGAACAACTACTCTGATTGTAACACTGCCCTCTATTTTGAACTTCTTGTGTCGAACAATGACCTCAACCTAAAATATGTTGCTCTAACCAATGCAGTAATTGGTAGGTTTCAGATGCCTTTGAAGACAAAGTTCAATGATTCCACCAAATTTGTTGTCATATGGCCCTATCGTTGACCATTGTCAAATGCCCGAGTCCATTTTTCCACTAAAATGTTATCGATCCACCTTAATGCTTATGAGTTTGTCAATTGTTTCTTCGTGATAGTGTTGGAATGATGGTTTTGTTAAGGTATACCATGCATTAACAACTTTCTTTCGAATTTTCTTGTCTTTGATATGGAGCATGAATTTTTGTGTGATATGTCTAATGCAATAAACATGTGTTAAAGGGGGATCCTACCAACCGTTATCAGGGTTATTGTATGCACTCACAATCGATAGATGTCTGTCCGAAATCAAACAAAGGTTGGGTTGAGGAGCAACGTGTAATCGGAGATTCTTCATAAAGAAATTCCACACACCATCTGTCTCACGTTCAACTAGAGTGAAGGCAACCGGAAAAATATTACTGTTGTCATCTTGTGCCACTGCCATGAGTAATGTTCCTTTATACTTTCCGTATAACCAATATCCAACCCCTCATCAATACCAAACCCAACAACAATGTCAATCCACTCAAACCCAACAACCGTACACCACCACATCCAACCAAACTCGTCATCAATTCATGCCCCACACACAAACACAATACCAAGAGCATGACCCGACCCACCACCAACAATATGCACCATCTACATCCTACCACAACATCCAAGACACGTATGATACACCTCCTTCCTACCATACCACCCAACCTACATACAGTCAAACATCACACCATCGAAGTACCCAACCATCATACGAATTTCATACACTACAAGAATTGTTACTTTGTTTTCAAAATGATTCAACATTCCAATACTATCAACCACCCCACCCACACATATCTCAACCAACAAGATCAAACTTCAACAACATTGACACCGATCTCTTTGGAAGCACGACACGGTGGGGCGAAATGATTGATGAGATGTATGATCCTGATGTACCAGGACCATCACATCAAGCGAGTCAGAACAAACCCTAAACATCTCAAGAAATTCAACAGAGAAGTGAAACAAGGGGTTTGGCAAAGGCGGGGGCCGTTTATGTCATACTGGCACCCGCTTAGGTTGAGGGGACGTTAGAAAAAATATGTATCAATGTATTGTGTAATTTAAAATATCAATATAAAATATTTTTAGTTAATTTTATTTTTATTTAAAATTAATAAACACAATTGTCAAGTCACACAAGATGGCGCCTCCTCTATAACTATGCATGTATGTGTCACACTGCATGACATTACATAGGAGGACAAATCATATAGTGTGACGCCTCTTCTATATTTTTCATGCATGCATCACACAGAGTGACACATTTTCTGAGTGATAAATTTTTTTTTTGCTTGAAAAGTGATTACTTTGATAAATTTTTTTAAAATGTGATTAATTAAATTATTTAAAAAAAAATTATTTAAAAAAAAATCAAGAAACTCAAATGAATGGAAGCAAACAAATCATATTAATATTACATGTCACAAGTGACGCCCCATTAAAGAAAAATACAATAATAAATGAACGTGTTACATAACAATATATGAATGATAAATAATCATTAATAATAAAAATTCATATTTCAAAAGAAACCTAATCATGTCATCATTTTCACTTCCTCACAAACCGTAATGAAGTGAAAACAAAAACACAAAATCCTATGCACAAACCAAACTCAACATAGTTAAATCCTCAAAAGAGAAACCCAAATGCAAGAGCTACGAGTGAAGCAACCGCAGTTGGAACAAAAAGAACACTAGCATCAGAAGCAGGACTAGGAGCTGGGGAATCAGCAGCAGAAACACCACTTGTAGCTATCACCAACAAAGCAACCATAACTGCCACAAAAACATTCATCTTCATTGTTTTAAAGAGAGAGAATATTTTGAAACAGAAAAAGATTAGTGGTTGTAGTGGCAGTGGGTGGAAAACCAGTGCGGTTATGGTTGGTTTTATATAGTTACGGGCAAGGAAAAAAGACGGGCAGGCTGACCGAACCTTTTCTGTTGCTGCCCGTTTTGTTGGACAGCATAGCATGTCTTTATTGAAAATTCCTGGTGGTATACAGCTGTCGCCAACGGTTTATGGGGTCACCAATTTATTTTTTTTCGAAAAGATAAAAGAAACTCCCTTTTTTTGTTTTTTTAAATATAAAAAATTTATTTTTTATAGAAAAATATTTTGTGTCGCTTGGGTTGTGTTATGGTGAGGTTGATTAATAATTTGGATTACTGCTTAATTGGGTTGAGGAATTCCTTGCTTTTTGTTGAGAAATTATCATTATGTATTTGATGAATTAATTAATAATAAAGTCGTCGGGGAGGTGAGTACTGTTGAGCTGGTTTGAGACTTTTGTTATCTGGATTATGTTTATGATTGATTCTTTCTATTGTCTGTACTAGTATTATTGTGTGATAAAATTTCAACATTGATAATTTCTATGTATACTATTCCCGATAACTTATTCTCGATAACTTATGTGTTGTATTTTTTGAGGCATCTCTTATGCTTTACTTGCAATATTTTGCTGTTTTTTTAAAAAAACTCATTCTATCGTGTTGTTCTTGTTTATCAACTATATCAAGTACATATTTATTAATAAAAAATACATATAAATTATCAATATTGTTATATATTTCGTCTAAAAGGTTAAAATATTAAAGAATGAATTTCTCAATTAATTTATTCTACTTTAACCAAAAGTTTTCATAGGTCAATTTGCTATTACATATTTTTTTCAATTTTTATTTTTTCTCATCTCCCACTCACAATCTCATTTTTCTCTAAAATTAAATATTTTTTATATTTATTTAATTTTATTTCATTATTTTATGTTTTATACTCTTATTACAAATGAATATACATAAAAACACATGAAAAATAAAAATAACACAAAAGACACATGTCAATACAAACAAATGAAACAGTTAAATTAAAAAATATTAAAATTTAAATATGAATAAATCTAACTCATTTTATTTTTTTAAAATATATTATTATTTTCATTATATTTATATTGAAGATATATTTTCATTTTTTTAAATATTATAATATATAAGTAGACAAAATAATTGTACCATTCTTTTAAATTACCAATAAAATGGAATATTTTAAACACTTTTATACATATTGAAAATTATTTTCCATTTTACGGATCACTTTTAATACATATTAATAAATTTTATTAAAAACATTAATTAATCTATTTTTAAATTTTAATAAAATTAATTGTTTATTTTATTAAATTGAATAATATTCAATAATCGTACAAACAACTAACTTTCTATCTCACAAGTCATTATCAACTAAATATCTATTTTATTTTAATTAATACTTACTTTTAATTAACACACAAAATTCTTATTTTTAAATATCAAAATTTTTATTTTTTTTATTTCTTCATTATACAAATTTTCCCCCCTCTCTTTTTGTATGGTTATTTAATAGAATTGAGTTTATATTATCATTATTCCACTACAAGAAAATAAGTGAATAGCCATGTGAATTAGCTATGGGTAAAACCCCAAATAAAATTAGCATGGGGTATCCTATTCACTATAAATTTATTTATTATATTAATTCTCTATGATTATAATATTTTTTATATTATATATTATAAATAATTGTCAGGGGTAGTCTATAAAAAATACATTCTTACTGATCTTACTGGTTGATCAGAACATGCAAGGTGGCCAGATGATGATCTTTAGACGGGCTGGAAAGTCAAGGAGAAAAAATGAGGGTTGTACCTGCAATACACTCTGGCGATTAAGTAAGTGTGGGAGCAAAAGAGATACAAGTAAAGTATTAGGGTCTTAGTGGTGAATAGTGGATATTCGATATCTGACCCTCACATGATTGAGAGTTTATATAGTGCCCATGGCGCTTGGTCCTTATTTTTGGGCCTAGATATGTGGGTCTGCAAAAATAGATAATTGACAGGACTTGATCAAACCGGACCGGTGTGCCCGCAACTAGTCGTTAGTTCCGAGGAGGAGGTAGGTTACGGGCAGCGGTCTGGTCGGTTCCTGGTTATCTGGTCGACTTGAGGTCGGGCAGACTGAGAGGCGTTCGTCAATTGTCGTAGGTCAATGCTGGTTCAGGAGGGAAAACGATCAATGGTACCCGACAGAGGGTGGGGGAGCACGGGCCGTGCTAAAGAAGAAGGTTAGACTGGGCCCACTCTAGCCGTTGGGCTAGTCCAGAATATTAGTCCCCCAAGTCGTCGCTTCTGAGCGCATGAGTGATGACTTTAACACCTGCACGTGGAATGAGGCGCTTCTTATAAGAAGTGTGAGTGTTGCCCGTTGTGCCTTTCTCGCAAGGAGATGATTAGTTGGTCGTTTGAGCTTCAAAAATTGAAGAGGTAGTGTGTTTTGGGTAGTGCGTCGATGCAGTGGCGCAATGATGGCCTAAGGGCTAGGGTCCAATAATGACGTTCCTATAGTTCCCTAGGGGCTAGGGTCCAATGATGACGTTCCTATAGTTCCCTAGGCGCGTGTCTCTCACATGCAAACGAGTTTAGCTATAAATACGAGAGGAGTAGGGCATTCTGCATTTTTCGTTCTTCTCTCACATTGCTCGTTATTGCCCGCTTGTCGACCGCCGCTGTTTCTTGAAAATTAACTGTTCGACGTCGTTCCTTTCAACTTCCTTCCTTCTTTAATTGGTAAGATTCCAGTTTTTCTCTATTATTTAGCTATTGTAGCTTAGATTTTCACGATTTCCTCTTAGAAACACATGCGGTTAGGCTTAGGATTTCGTTTGTTAGGGCATTCTCGGGGAGTGTTGGTGGCAGACGGTGGTTTTGTAATTTAGAATCACCGGAGCCTCCGTATATCCTCTTGGATTTTCGCGACGTGCCGTAGATGATCCTTTAGGATTTAGGTCGTTTTGCTTACTGGAGTTCGCCTAGTTGGGGAAAGTGGTTGTTTTTTCAGATGCCTTAGTGAGGGTTCTGGTCGGGGACATGGTCCTCCTTTATCAGCTTCCTTTCACTTGATTAGTGGTAGAAGGGTAGTTTTGGTATCGATGTCGAATTCACCTCTATCCTCTGATTTTTAGGTACTATGTCTGACAATGTTGGAGGAGATATTTCAGATGGACAGACCAGGTCCTCCTAGAGTTTTACGAATGAGACTTGTAATACGTCGAGCATCTTGGAGATATTTGGGGACGAGCTGCACCAGTCCGATCAACAAGCAAGGGGAGAGGATGTGAAGATGGCCTCTGCCGATCAGAGTGGCCTGTTCGCGCCTAAGGATGACAAGGAATCGCAAACCTGGGTCACGGAGGATCCTTGGGATTGGGTTTCTTACATCTTCGAGCATCGGGATGAGATTTTTACTAAAGTGTGTGCGTATGACGACAGGAGCCGAGGGGAGTGGTCGCTTTGGATTCCCGAGAAAGATAGTCAGATCTACTCAAAATATGATAAGAGGAGGATCCATATGTATGACATCGTGTTCTGGGAGATGGGCCTTCGACTTCCCTTCTCGCATTTCCAGGTGGCCGTTTTCAGGCATCTTCGACTGACTCCTTCTCAGCTGCATTTGAACGGGGTCGCTTTTATGCTAGCGTTCGAGATTGTCTGTAATTATTTAAAGATAGAGGCCACTATTCCTTTGTTCTTCTATTGTTTCCATCTCCAAAGGAGCAAGGTTGACGACAAGTGGGGATGGGTCGCCTTGAAGCAGGGCAATGAGAAGCTGTTTAAAGCTTATCTGGAATCTATTCGGAACTTCAAGGACAAGTATATTCTCGTGCAGCCTCTTTCGAGCAGGGCAATGCTGAATGTTTTTCGGGCTACTCCAGATTATGATAAGAATGGGGACCTTGTCTTGAACGAGCTGGGGGAACATGTGAGTAAGTCGGTCTGCAAGTTCCCTTTTTAGTGGACGAGGAAGCATTTTGATAACAAGTTGGGTTCCTTCTTGTGGAAGGAATGGGAGCTTGGTAACAAGGATAAGACGAGCTTCGCCTTTTTGACCGCTTTTGTCGCACGGATTCCTTATGTCCAGCGTGCGGGCCGAGGAGGAAAGCCTGTCACATATAAGAAATGGGAGATCGTGTATGAGCCTGGTCTGATAGCCGTTAAGGAGCTCCTCGAGAGCGAGGACCCCGTTAAATACTTGGTTATTTAACTTTACGTTTTGAATAATTATATATGGTCGACATTTTTAAGTCCTCATTTTCTAATTCTGATTTGTTATTTTTTTTGCAGATAACATTAATCCTGCTCAGGAATGCATAGCCGGGAATCTTGCCGCGAAGGAGAAGAAGGCGTTGAAAGATGCCCAGACTGGTTCAAGGACTGCTTCCACGCCAGGATCAAGAAACTCGTCTTTGGCTCAAGCTATTGTCTCCCTCTCTCCCGCTCACGTGTCCTCGAAGGCGAAGAGACCATGCATAGAGGGGGCGTTGATTTGACTGGGGAAAAAGGTAAAGGAAAGTATGATCTGCCCCCTGCTGGATAGAAAGGGCTTTCTTTGAGGTTGTTGCTCTACAACTCCCTCAGGATGAGTCTCTTCACCTCGAAGGGCTGGATCTCCCAGAGAAAAGGGCAGTGTTGGCGCAGGATGTTGGTGGCCTGATGAGGATATTGGAGATGGCAGTCGCCTACGCCATGGGGAGTTCTTATCAAGAAGTCGAGCTGAAGAAGCTACGGGCCAAACTGGCCACAATTAAGAAGAGGCGGAGTGACGAGGAGAAACCTTGAAAGCTGGCCGAGGAAGATCTAGGGAAGCTATTCAAGGAGCGCAAGGCCTGGCTGCTTGAGAAGAAGGCTCTAGAGGAGAGGGTGGCGGCTTTGGTTGTCGAGGCTGCACCCGCTGAAGACGAGCCAAAGGATACGAAGGACTTGAAGACTCGAGCTGAGTTGGTTGCTCGTTTTCAATTGGCGATGGGTGACGCTCAGGCCGCCTCCGAGGGGAGCTTTGAGAATGCGCTGAAGCAGCTCCGTGTTTTAAACCCCGGGGTCGATTTTAATACCTCCGGGATGGGGGTTAATTATCAAGTGGCTGCCGAAAAGATTTTGG